ACCAAATCCAGAACTCGAACCATGATCAACCATATGAGAGTCCAGTGTGGAATGACTATACCACGTGCTGGCCCCCAAGAAAGAATTTAATAAATAATTTTAGAGGGACCAGCCGGTGGTGCAGTGGCTAAGGCACTGGACACTCCCACATGCCCAATTACGGTTCGACTCCCGGACCTGGTGGCTTACTTTCATGCGCACACTCTCTCTCTCTCTCTCTCTCTCTCTGTTTCTCTGACTCTCTTTGGTCAAATTAAAATAAATGAATGAATAAATAAAATTAAATACATCTTTAAAAATGTATCAGACCAAAAGACATTTTTAAAAAAGAAATTATTTTAGAGCATTTCTCATGTTCTGTTTGTGTGGTGTGGAAACCTCCTGAGTAGCCCTGTGTGTGTCTGGTACTCAGTGGACCTTACTCCTGTTCCCTGGGGGTGGGACCCGATTAAGCAAGGCCAGGCCTAGTAAGAAGGACCGGAGCAAACCCAGGAATGAACCTGTCACCCTGTTCTCTTCGCGGCTGGCCTCTGCACCGCTGGCAGCGAGCCCTGCAGTGAAATTACCCAAGCTCTGCTTCATTTTAAGGCATCTCTGTTTGTTTTAGATTTACATTTTGATATGACATTCCTTTTCCTGGAGGTATTTTTCATTTCAACTTGAAATGAATTGTACTTTGAGCTCTAATTATATAAATACTTAGTTAGATATTATACTTTCTCTTTAGGATATGAGAAAGCATGGCTAGTTGCTGGTTTTTGCTCCATACCAATAATTTACTTAGCATTTAAATTACATCTTGAGTTCCTAGAGAAACAGATGAATCAGGGAGACTAAGTTTTTATGAGGGGGAACTCCAAAGAATTTTCTTTTACTGCCACTTGAAAGACTGAGATTTGTTTCTCATTTTAGAAATGAAAATTAAACACGCATCCAGTAAGCGTTCAATGTGAACCAAATAAATAGTACTTGAAATAGTATGTCAGAGTGTGAGAAAAACCAAAACACGGTAAGAGACATCGCAGTGTGAGGAATTAAGATTTGCCCTTTATTATACAAGGACGGCAGGAAGACCGTCTGGCATAAGCGGAGGCCGAAGCAAGCCATTTTCTTACCTTCCTAATGAAAAGCCACAGAGATGTATGCTGTGGCCCTTATGATCTCTTCCTGTTCCGAAGATCTCCTACCTACTCTTACCTGGGTCTTTTGCTTATTAATATTTCACTTTATAAAATTACTGATTGCTCACTTGTGTTCCAAAATAGCCTTTCGCCTTGTTTCACAGGAGCACATACTGCATTAATAACAATAATAATAATAATAATAATAAAATGTTGGTGTATCCTGGTATTTCTCTCTTTTTTAAAATATTTACAGTTGGGCTTTATGCACTCCCTGGTGAGTTAGAGAGACAAGGAAAGTGAGAAAGCACCCCTGTGGGGAGGGCCATGCAGCAATCCCCTCTTCTCCATTCTTCCCACGGGGTTTGGGGACATGCACGCACACAGCGTGTTTGTCAAGCTGCCGGGTACGACACTCCAACCACACAAGTGGCCCTGTGGGATCCAGCTGTCTAACCACCGCAGCACTGGCCGGCACTCCCGGTGTTCTCTGAAGTTCTGTCCTGAGGCATCTCTATGGCTCCTGCTGGTACCTTTGGTGCTTCAGGGCTCAATTCTAAGTGATGGCCACATAAGTACTTCTGACCTCTTTCCTGAACGAGAGTTGACAACTTTAGCTTCTGCTGAGTATTTAATCCTGCATTTTTAGCAGACTCTTGAAACCCATTTTTTTTGCCTCTACCAGTCTAATTCTTGGAATAAGCCGCACTTGGCCATGTTCACTTACTACCCAAATTCCACAGTTGAGTCGTAGGAAATCTATCCGCCCATAGGAAGATAACCTAACCGGAGGAACTCGAGCAACCATCCACCTTGGTTCTGAAAAATCAGGAGTCAGCCTCTTGTTTGACAGCTCTCATGGATTGGCAGAGGGATATATCTTTAAAAAGGAAGTAAAAGAAGGGATATGGTCAAAGAGTCATAGGTGTCCACAGAGCAAGATAAGCAATTTGATAAAAATTAACGGGAAGGCCATAAATTATGTCTTATATCAAAATTAATTTAACAGATAAAGGCCAGGTACACCCACCTCAAAACTTTTTCATTTTTCCTGCTGTCAAGAAAGATCCTGGGGGCTGGCAAGTGGTGTGGTGGTTAGGAGCACTGGAATCCCACATGGCCGACCTTGGTTCGAGGCCTAGACCTGGCGGCTTGCTTTCTCACTTTCTCTCTCTCTCTCGCTCTCTCACTATTGTCCCTCTCTGGTCAAATTTAAAAAAAAAAAAGAATAAATAAATAAATAACGCTAAATAAAATAATAACTTTAAAAAATAAGAAAAAAAAAAAAGAAAGAAAGATCCCTGGAAGATTCTGGGAGGGAGGAAGGAAATCTTGCAGTCACTTGAAAGAGCAGTCAATGGAGACAGACTCTCTTCTCTCACCAGGCTTGGTGACAATAGGACTTTCTATGAATCATAAACTCTTGCAGCTTGCAAATTGATTCTTTCCTTCCAGAACGTCTTCTTTAATCCCCTAGGCTTCCTTTGTTCTTTGGTAATAGAAAACAGTCAAGTTGTATCAAGTCCTTTTCCTACCATCCTCTTTTGGTTAGTGTCTTAAGCGGCCGTATGAAAAACCTCAAGCTTTGCTATTTAGGCTGTAAGTCCTCGGTGTCAGTGCTGTAAAGAAAGACTCTTCATTTCCTCTGAAAGCTGTAAGTGAAGACGTCATGGAGTAGCTGTCCGGTGTTTTCTGGAAAAGTCGTACTTTGCAAGTGGTGGTTCTGTAGTTTGTTAGAAAGTTGGGACCAGCAGTTAGCATAATGGCTATGTTGCTGGACTCTCACGTAGTCGACTGCGGTTCATGTCCCGGACCCGGTGGCTTAAACTCACACTGGGCGCATGTGCGTGTGTGCCCAAGATCCCGAGAGGAGAATGGAGGAGAAGGGATTGTGGCGTGACCATCCCCCCTGGGGGGTGATTTCTCGCTTTCTGACTCTCTCTCTGTCTGGCGAGCGCACGTGTCACAGGACACGTGCAAAAACCTCTCCATGTGGTGGTTAGGAGCACTGGAATCCCACATGGCCGACCTTGGTTCGAGGCCTAGACCTGGCGGCTTGCTTTCTCACTTTCTCTCTCTCTCTCGCTCTCTCACTATTGTCCCTCTCTGGTCAAATTTAAAAAAAAAAAAGAATAAATAAATAAATAACGCTAAATAAAATAATAACTTTAAAAAATAAGAAAAAAAAAAAAGAAAGAAAGATCCCTGGAAGATTCTGGGAGGGAGGAAGGAAATCTTGCAGTCACTTGAAAGAGCAGTCAATGGAGACAGACTCTCTTCTCTCACCAGGCTTGGTGACAATAGGACTTTCTATGAATCATAAACTCTTGCAGCTTGCAAATTGATTCTTTCCTTCCAGAACGTCTTCTTTAATCCCCTAGGCTTCCTTTGTTCTTTGGTAATAGAAAACAGTCAAGTTGTATCAAGTCCTTTTCCTACCATCCTCTTTTGGTTAGTGTCTTAAGCGGCCGTATGAAAAACCTCAAGCTTTGCTATTTAGGCTGTAAGTCCTCGGTGTCAGTGCTGTAAAGAAAGACTCTTCATTTCCTCTGAAAGCTGTAAGTGAAGACGTCATGGAGTAGCTGTCCGGTGTTTTCTGGAAAAGTCGTACTTTGCAAGTGGTGGTTCTGTAGTTTGTTAGAAAGTTGGGACCAGCAGTTAGCATAATGGCTATGTTGCTGGACTCCCACGTAGTCGACTGCGGTTCATGTCCCGGACCCGGTGGCTTAAACTCACACTGGGCGCATGTGCGTGTGTGCCCAAGATCCCGAGAGGAGAATGGAGGAGAAGGGATTGTGGCGTGACCATCCCCCCTGGGGGGTGATTTCTCGCTTTCTGACTCTCTCTCTGTCTGGCGAGCGCACGTGTCACAGGACACGTGCAAAAACCTCTCCAAAAAAAAAAAGGAAAGTTATTTTATAAATACGTCAGATACATGTTCTAGCAGTAACTGATATTTCCTTCATTTGATCAGACAGACCAAAATAGCCTAAAGATACAGTTTTGCACAAACCTGAGAAGTAAGGTCATTTAATCCCATTTAGTATCATTATGTGTAAGGGGGACTCGAGCTCTGCTTATGTGTGTATGAAGCAGCATTTGAATGAGGCCCCAGTGGATGAGACAAATCTGCCTGAGAAAGAAAGCACAAAGCTTAATATCATCCATAAATAGTCATTGCAATTTTCAATGTGTCTCTGTTCTACTCTCTTTATTTTAATGTATGTCAAACACTATTATTAGGAGGAAAAGAGACATGACATTGTGTATTTTCATATTTCTTTAAGCAAGTATACCATGTTTATCCAGGACAGTCATTTTATATCTTTGGTAATTTTGGAAAACCCATTTTCCACTTTTCGTTTTCTTTCCTGATAAATCAGTTTTCCACATATGTCGTAGTGAGTGACGACTGCCACCATCTTCAGATGGCCCTAAATGCGTGGCGTGGATCCCTCTGCTCGAGCGTCGCCGCTCACTGGGGCCTGCAGTGCTGTGCAGTGCTTTATCGTTCTCAGCCCTCCACGGAGATCTGGGAGGGGTGCACTGTGGGTGCGTCGTCTGCAGCTTTCATTTTATGACGCACATACTGGCCCCCACTTTAAGGAAGTAGACTCCATTTCAACATGTGCATGCGTGTGTTGCAGCTCACCTGTTTGTTACTTGCTCTCTTCACTATGTAAGAGCTCACTACCCTACCAGTCAAATGATCAAGTGGCGCTCCTCTTCAGGAATAAGGTCCTTTATACCGCCAGGGTGTGCGCTCCTGAGAGCACTGAGCTTCTTTATGATACAGGAATTCAAACTGTGGTCTCTTGTGACATTTGTGCACAGAAGTGGAACTTGTACTCACACGCGTGTATCATTTTCTCGTGACAGTTGACTTCAAACCTCGTGCCAGCATGGATACTGTCCATCACATGTTACTTTTTGGATGCAATATGCCTTCATCCACTGGAAGTTACTGGTAAGGACGCTGGGCCCGCAGTGTGGACGGGTAGAGAAGATGCTCGTTTGCCTGAGTTCAGAGTGTATCTGCTATACACACGTTTTATGAATGATTAATAAGTAGACATTTTTTTTAAAAACAAACAACAACAACAACAACAACACCTGTTCATTAACAACATGTGGTTACGGTTTATCACAGTTCCTCAGCTCGCTACAGATCGTATCTGCTGGTCTTTGTCACTGGTGTAATGCGTGAATGTTTATTATCGTCCACAGTGTGTCAGGTACAGAGTGCTTGTTAAGGACACCTGAGAATTTAGATGATTGGTGTCAGTTTTTTTCAAGGTCATTGTTCTGTGATAAGAACACCATGGTTTGGGGCTAGTATGTGGTATGGTGGTTGAGGTGCTGGACTCCCACATGGCTGACCAGGATTCAAGTGCTCGACCTGGCAGCTTGCTTTCTCTCTCTCTCTCTGTCTCTCTCTCTCTCCCCCTCTCTGTCTGTCTGTCTATCTCTCTCTGTCTCTGGTGCTGAACACATGTTCCCTATAGCAAATTAAAAATAATAATAGTAATAGGGACCAGCAGTTAGTGTAATGGCTATGTCGCTGGACTCCCATGTAGTTGACTGCGGTTCAAGTCCCGGACCCGGTGGTTTAAACTTACTCTGGGCGCTTGTGCATGCGTGCCCAAGATCCCGAGAGGAGAACGGAGGAGAAGGGATTGTAGCATGGCCATCCCCCCGGGGGGTGATTTCTCGCTTTCTGTCTCTCTTTCTGGCTAGCGCACACACCCTATAGCAAAAACCTCTCAAAAAAAAATAAATAAATAAATACCTTATAGCGAAAACCGCTTAAAAACAAAAATAAAAATTAATTAATTAATAATACCAATAATAAATACAATTAAATAAAATTTTTTTAAAGAAAAGAGCACAGCACTATGGCTCTCTTCGTCAAAGACTCTTGTCCCAGGTACTGTGCTAGGTGATCTGGACATCCCATTTCATTTGGTATGATTATTCCTGCTTTACAGATGAGGAGCCTGGGCCCAAAGAAGTTCAGTAACTCACTCAAGGTAGTGCAGCTGGTTAGTGCCAGGCCAGGATCGAACCCTACATTGGCTAGTTCCAAACCCAGTCACTCCCATTTTACCATCTGCTCCCATTTATTTAAATAACTTGTAGTTTTAGAAACTATTTTAATCACTATGATGAATCTTAATATCATATCATGAATAATCATTTCTATTAAATGCCTGTCCTATGCCAAAACTGTAGCAGAGGCTGTGAGAAGTTCTAGATAAATAAGACATGTTTTCAAGCCCTAGAAGCGTACAGAATAATTTTTGTGTGAAAACGCTTGCCTTTCATTTTGTTCTCTGGTGTCTGGAAGACCAGTAAACTCTAAAAAGAGCCAGTTGGGGGACCAGCAGTTAGTGTAATGGCTATGTCTCTGGACTCCCACGTAGTCGACCCCGGTTCACGTCCCAGACCCGGTGGCTTAAACTCACGCTGGGCACGTGTGCATGCGTGCCCAAGATCCCGAGAGGAGAATGGAGGAGAAGGGATTGTGGCGTGGCCATCCCCCCTGGGGGGTGATTTCTTGCTTTCTGTCTCTCTGTCTCTCTCTGTCTGTCTGGCGAGCGCACACGCCCTATAGCAAAAAAAAATAATAAAAATAAAAATAAAGCCTCTTCTTTTTCACCCGTTCCCAGAGTCACTGTTACATATTTAACAGTCCAGAATGACTGGTGTGCTTTGCTTTGCATGAAGAAGGGGTCTGCTTTAATGTCCTGCCTCTACATAATCATCTAGACGGGTAGACCTTTCGCTGTGCATCTTAATATTCATTAACCTGATGCGAGGCACGCAGCAACTGCTTTCTAGTCATTTTTATAATAAACAATTGTAATACGTATTTGGAACTGTTAAAAGCACAGGGCAATTAGTGGAAATCTCCATGGACCAAGTACCATCAAAGCACTCGTTAATAGGCTTAAGTTGTTTGATGAAAGGGGCATATCACATAGGAACCCAACTCACAGGACCGGGTTTATATAAATACAGAATCGGCAAATCACAGTTAATACCCACTGATATCATCATTCTAGGTTTTGCTCTTCAGTAAATTTTTGTAAGATAAAATTCTGGGAATAAAAGATTATTCTGTGTAGCTTTTTCTGAATCATACTCAGCAAGTCACATCCCTTTCTGTGACTTTAAGAATTTTTTTTTTTTTTGGAAATTAACAATATATTTACTTTTAGATTTGAATTACTGAAAATAGCTAGAGGAGGTATAAGCTTTATTTAAAAAAGAATTAGTTAATTTTAGTAATAATTATTATTTTTAATTTGATCAGAGAGAAAGAGGGAAAGTGAGAAAGCAAGCTGCTTGGTCCAGGACTAGAACCATGTTTGGTTATATGGTAGTCCAGCACCTTAACCACTAAAACATTTGCTACCCCCAAGAATACAAGCTTTTAAAATCTGGTTTGGCTTGATAAAAGGGATGAATGAGAAAATAAAATGTCATCTAAATGCTATTATGGTTCTGAACTGAACCTAGTTCATTGTTCTCATGTTAGGGGAATATCAAAACAAAAATATTATTTTGACCCACTTAAAATTCTTATTAGGCCCAGCCATGGCAATACAAAGAGAGCAGACCACTTGGGAGGCTGGAGCCACATAGAAGGCCTAGGTTCAATTCTAGGCCATCTGAACATCCTGGGGACAATGTAACCCAGCCACTGGGAGTTTGGACAGGAGGCTGTGACAGAGTGAATCTTTGTCAGAAATACTTGTCACCATCTCTCTTCTTTTCTTTCTCTTTCCCACTCTCATTCTCATAAAGGGGAAAAATTAATATTCTTAAGTGTACTACTGTGAAATTAAACCTCTAATACATATTGACCAGAAGACTTATGAGTGGGGAAAGAAGATTCAATGAAAGTTATAAATAAAGATGAAAACAGAAATTTTGAGTAAAATTTAAGGGGACTTCAAAAAGTTCATAATAAAAACCAGAATTAAAGTACAGGTTGATTTTGGTACAAAAAAGTCTTCTAGTAGGTGCATCATTTCCTCTATAATATGCATTTCCATGACTTTTTGAAGACCCTCATAAATGCTATATGTGTGTGTGTATATATGTGTGTGTGTGTATATATATATATATATATATATATTACTTTGCTAAAATTATTACTTGCAAGGTAATCAATCAATCATGGTAGAAAGAGCAGTTTAGTGTCTAGATACCCTGAGTAAATTATTTAAGCCCATCTGGGTCAGAATCGGTTTCTTCATTTTAGTGAGATATTTATACTAGATCATTTATAAAACCTCTTGATGGGACTAGCAGATGGCATAGTGGTTATGTCGCTGGATTCCCATATAGTTGACTGCCGTTTGAGTCCCAGACCCCGTGACTTAAAACTCACACTGGGTATGTGTACATGTGTGTCCAAAGTCCTAAGACGAGAATGGAGAAGGGATTGCAGTATGGTCATTCCCCCCTGGGAAGTGATTTCTTGCTTTCTGTCTCTCTGTATCTCTGTCTCTCCAGTGGGTGCACACACAAAAGTTTTCTCAAAAAAAAAAAAAAAAAACAAACTCTTGATGTTCTAAAATTCCATAATCCTGTGACTATAAATTGCATGCAGATGCTGAGTGAGACTGGGAGGGTATTACTCACTTGGAGATGGGAGTGTGTGCACTAGTTTGCTCAGCTAAGCAAGCAGCAGTGTGTTTTGCTGGTCAGTTGCATCATTTAGTAAACAGGATCCTTAATAACCCTAGTCCTACATCACTTTAAATAGATTTAAAAATCTTTGCCTCAGGCCAGCAGATGGCATAGTGGTTACATCACTGGACTCCCACATGGCTGACTGCAGTGTTAGTCCCAGGCCGGAGGCTTGAAACTCATGCCAGGCACGTGTGTGCATGTGCCCAAGATCCCAGGAGGAGAATGGAGGAAAAGGGATTTGCAGCCTGGCAATCTCCCCTGGGGGTGATTTCTCACTTTCCCTCTCATGTCTCTGTTTTCTTTCCAATATCCCTTCCCCCAACCCTAGCCAGTGCATGTACCCTAAGGCAAAAACTTCTTTAAAAAATCCTGCCTCAAGGACCAGCAGTTAGCATAATGGCTATGTCATTGGACTCCCACGTAGTCAACCACGGTTCAAGTCCCAGACCCAGTGGCTTAAAACTCACTCCAGGTGCGTGTGCGTGCGTGCCCGAGATCCCAAGAGGAGAACGGAGGAGACGGGATTGCGGCGTGGCCATCCTCCCTGGGGGGTGATTTCTCGCTTTTTGTCTCTCTGTCTCTGTCTGTCTGGCGAGTGCATGCGCCCTATAGCAA